CTGAAGACCTGCCGGGGACGAGCTACAGCCTGAACCAGCAGTGCGAGCTGGCCTTCGGCGTGGGCTCCAAGCCGTGCCCATACATGCAGTACTGCGCCAAGCTCTGGTGCACGGGGAAGGCGCGCGGGCAGATCGTCTGCCAGACCCGTCACTTCCCCTGGGCGGACGGCACCGGCTGCAGCGAGGGGCGCTTCTGCTTGAAGGGCGCCTGCGTTGAGAGGCATAACATCAGTAAGTACAGGGTGAGTACCTGCGCCGTGAGCCCAAAAACATCCCGCGGGGTTGCCCCGAGTTTTTTGCATGGGTGCTGGCTGAGCGGTCCCCTGCCTCCTGGTGCTGGAGACCCGGCGGGGGACACTGATGTGAAAAGAGTTGGAGGTCCCTTGGGTATTGCGTATTTCTCAAGGAGGGATGCTGCTGCTCCGCTCCATCCAGCCCTGGGCAGGTTTGGGGGCAGCCGGCAGAGGTTTTGCTTGCGAAGGGATGGCTCCGAGTCCAGAGAGCCCCCCACTCGGGATGGAGCCGGTGGCGAAGGGGATGCAGCACCTCACCCTGCCACATCCCCGCAGGTGGATGGTGGCTGGGCGAAGTGGGCGCCCTACGGGCAGTGCTCGCGGACGTGCGGCGGCGGGGTGCAGCTGGCCAAGCGGGAGTGCACCGACCCGGTGCCTGCCAACGGGGGCTCCTACTGCGAGGGCGTCCGTGTCAAGTACCGCTCCTGCAACCTGGACCCCTGCTCTGCTGCAGGTAAGGGGCTGGAGCTCAACTTGCTCGTGGTTGTGTGCATGACCTGTAACAACCCCATAAAACCGGCGCCGGAGGTCCAGGCTGGTCCCCGATCCCATGCACTTCCCCATTTTTTCCAGTGCCGGGGAAGAGCTTCCGCGAGGAGCAGTGTGAGGCTTTCAACGGCTACAGCCACAGCCCCCGCCCCCCCGCCTCTGTCTCCTGGGTCCCCAAATACTCCGGCGTCTCGCCCCGGGATAAATGCAAGCTCATCTGCCGGGCTAACGGCACCGGCTACTTCTACGTGCTGGCACCCAAGGTTGGTGAGGGACCCCCGGGGTCAGGATCTGGGCTGTAGGGTGACCCCAGGGTGCCTAGAAATGAATGCATCTTCCTTGTCTGGTGGGCAGCTGGTGTTAGATGAGGTTGCAGAGGACGGGAATCCACCAGGCTGGTATGAATCAGCACGTACGTGTCCGCTTATTTATTTCAGGGCTGGAGTTGGTCTGTGGAGGGTCTTCCTCTGGGTTTGTAAAGGTGCCTCTGGGATATGCCCATAGTCCTGAAATAGAGGATGATAATTAGGATGCTGGGGAAGCAATGCACGTGCCGGACAGGGCGGGCGGCCAGACACGGGACTGAGTGGGGTGGTGTTAGCTGTCTCCCCAGTGCAGCCTGTTCCCTTTCCCACTGATGCAACAGAAAGGGCAGAAAATGATGTAGATGCAGCAGAAAAGGGATCTAGTCCCATCCGGCTCTTCTCAGAGACCCTAAAAAGCCTGACTGCAAAGCAGAGCGTGAGCAAAGGGCCACATGGTGCCTGCTAGCATCTCCTCAGGACCTGTTGGATGGATTTGGGTAGCCCTGGGTTGGATGGCCGCAGTCAGGGGTGTTTGTGGGGTGGCACAGGGAAATGCAGCGGCTTGTTTTGCTCACCCTCGTGCAGGTTGTGGACGGCACCCCTTGCTCCCCAGACTCCACCTCGGTCTGCGTCCAGGGCAAATGCATCAAAGCGGGCTGTGACGGGAAGCTGGGCTCCAAGAAGAAGTTCGACAAATGCAGTGTCTGCGGAGGAGACAACAAGAGCTGCAAGAAGGTCTCGGGCTTGTTCACCAAACCCATGTGAGTGTTAGGGGACCGCGCATGCTTCCCCCTCCCCGAGCTCTGCTTTTTGGGGCGGATGCAGGAAGGTGGTGGAGATGGTGACGGGGGCTAAGTCCGTCCCGAGCAAACGCTCCTGGTGCTAGTGCACATCACTGCATGGAGACCTGGGCTAGCTCTGAGGGAGGAGCAGGGCACATTTAACGTGCTAACGGCTCCTGCTGATGGAGTGAGTTATCTCCAGTGCATCTGTACTGTTGAGCCAGAGGAGCTGAAGCATCTTCCCATATCTGGGGGACCTCAGCCTAGATGAAACTCAGCATAGGGAAGAGATTCAAAGTGATCTTCACGGGAGGGAGGAGATAACTGTAGGGGTGGGAAGGTCTCAGGGCTGTAGCTGCAGAGCTTCGGGCTGAGGTCACGTCGTAGCGGGATGTCTCCTGCCTGACGGCCTGCCCTGCCTGCTCTTCTCTTCCAGGCACGGCTACAACTTCGTGGTGGTTATCCCCGCGGGCGCCTCCAACATCGACATCAGGCAGCGGGGCTACAAAGGGCTGATCGGCGACGACAACTATTTGGCGCTGAAGAACGGGCAGGGCAAGTACCTGCTGAACGGCCACTTCATCGTCTCGGCCGTGGAGAGGGACCTGATGGTGAAGGGCAGCGTCCTGCGGTACAGCGGCACCGGCACTGCCGTCGAGAGCCTCCAAGCCTTCAAGCCCATCCAGGAACCCCTGACTTTGGAGGTGCTCTCCGTGGGGAAGATGACCCCTCCTCGGGTACGCTACTCCTTCTACCTCCCCAAGGAGAGCAAGGAGGACAAGTCCTCCTACAAGAAGGAGGGCAAGACCCCACTGGACCTCAACAACAGTGTCCTCAGCCTGTCCAACCGCTTGGACGGTGGGAGACCGAGCTACAAGCGTCCCTCCTACAAGTGGGCGGTGGGCGGCTGGGAGGCTTGCTCCGTCACCTGCGGTGATGGGTTGCAGAAGCGTTCGGTGGCTTGTCGTGACTCCTACGGCCAACCAGCCGCCGAGTGCGACGCGGCACAGCGGCCGGCCGATGTCCGGCTGTGCGGAGAGCCCTGCCCGGCGTGGGAAGCTGGACCTTGGTCACCCTGCTCCAAGAGCTGCGGTCGGGGTTTCAAGAGACGGGCGCTGAAGTGCTTGGTCCCAACCGGGCGCCTGCTGCCCCGGGAGAGTTGCAATTTTCGGAGGAAACCACAGGAGCTGGATTTTTGCACCTTGAGGCCGTGCTGAGCAGGTCAAGGGGTGTCTGCGAGGAAGGGCATGGTGTTCCTCTGGCTGGATGCGGCCGAGCGGCAGCCAGGGCTTGGGAGCGGGGGAGATGTCCATAGCACATATCAACCAGGGGGGAAAAAAAAAAGAAAAAAATGGGGGGAAAAAGGGACCTGGGCGTGGGGACAGAGCACGCACACCCCACATGCCCAGGAGAGAGGGATTTTACCGACCAGGTCGCTTGGAGACAGAGCAGGAATGAACATCTACCTCGAAGCCGCCGAACGACGCGGAAACCCACCGGCGGAGGCTGGGAGCCGGGGGACGGACGGACGGAAACGAGGGGGATCGCTGCCCGGGATGGATCCGAGGACAGGCAGGGGGATGCCCCTAAATTGCACAGTCGAAGCCTCCCCCGTCTTCCCAGGGCCAAGCCTACCTCCCCCCTCCCCGGACTCCCCAACACTTGTGCTAAACGGGACCAAAAGGATTTACCAATGCAACGATGGCAAACCATACTGTCCAACCACCGGGGTGACGAGGTGCTGGGGCTCGTAGGGACTGACGCCTCCAGGGCTTGCTGGCGATGACTTTGCAGCCTGGGCAGTCCGGAGAGCCCCAGCAGCATCCCCGGGCCAGGCTGGAAGGTGGTGGCTTTATTTTCATTTTTCTCCTCATGTTTATGACCTGACCAGTGTAGATTTTATGGTGCTTAACTCTGTATTTTTTTTTAACCTCCTTCCTTCCCCCCCCCGATGGATGTAAACCTTGCGTAGCAGGGACGGCGTTATTCCCAGTGGGCTCTCTCACCTGGCTGAGGTTTTCCTATGGTGCTTTGGGATGGGGCTGTGCCGGCATCCAGTGCGTAGCTGGATGCTCCTTTACACCCTGGTCCAGGGCAGGTTGTAAATCACCCGCCTCAAGTTTTTTAGGGCTAAAAGGGATCACTATGGACCTGAGATTTGAGCTGTCATTCCAAAAAAGCAACAAGCAACTGTACTGTAGTACCACGGTGCGGTGCCGCATGGGGTCAGACGCAGCCCCGCGAGTCGCAGGTACTTGACTCCGCTCTGGAAATGGTGCTCGCTGCTTAATGGGACCAGTACGCCGTGCCCAGACCTCCCACCGCCCTCTGCCCTCCAACCTTTGGGCCAGGTTGGGTTATTTTTCCTATGCATTAAACCCCCCTGAGATATCCTGAGCTGAACTCGGTGGAGCTGGGGCAACATTCCCGGCATAGCTTTTGAGCTGCGGGAGCGGAAGATAAATTTGGGTCTTGGGCTTTCCTGGGGGAAAGGGTCTCAGCAGGGTTCAGGGGTGCGGTGTTGAACCTCTTGCTGCTGCAGAGCATCTACAACCAGCTTCCCCCTCCAGGGTTTTGTGCAAGGGTTTATTCGGTACCTCTGATGGTTATGTAGCATCATGCCCGTTGTGGTTGGAGGCTGTCTTACCTCACACATCGCCCTCTTCCCAACGACCCTTTAACGCATCATTTAGGTCTCTTGCTCAGATCCTACCGTCAGGGACCATTTCACTTCTCGCTTTTCCACTGATGAAGGTGCCTCTTAATCAATTAGCTGGGACTGTGAGCAAGCCAGAGTCTCTGGGTCGAGCTATGCCGTTACTGGGATCAGCAGAAAGGGACTATAGGGACGATACACAGATTATGGGGAGGCAGAAGACGCTGTCTCAGCAGCTAGAGGCTTGGAGCTTACCTCGCTCGCTCCGTCCCATGCAGATGTAGCGTGGAAACTCCTTGTGCCCTGTGGTCTGCTCCAAAAGGTCTCCGGCCGTGGGCAAGGCGAGAAAGATCCCAAGAAACAGGACAGCGGTGGCACAAGGGTTTCCTTGCCAGACCTTTCCACCAGCTTAGCAAACCCCTCGTGACAATGTTTGTGAACCCATCCTCCTTGGATTTATGTAAATGCCTTTCTGAACACAAGAATATTTTGGGTCTCCACGCTGCTCGATAGAGCCAGGAGCAGATGTTGTGGTTGCTCTGCGCAGCAGGGGATGGGATTTAACGTTCCAGGGAATCCCTTCCAGGTCTCCGTTCCCATGAACGTATCATCCATTTTCAGAGGGTTTTCCTGCGTAGCCCAGCCCGCCGCGCTTTCCCCTGGGGACAGAGCTCCGAGGAGCTGCCCTTTTGTGTCTCGCCATCCAACAGACGGTTTCCAAGCCACC